ATGATTTGCATTAATAACCCACTTGAAGATTTCTTGATTTAGCAGCTCTGGCACTGGTTACCACAGTGGGTGCTGTTTAAGTGTCTGTTGAGCCAAAGAAAGCCTTCTCTGAAAGTCATCTTTTCATCCATGTTTTTTTTTTCGTTTTTTTAGCACAATGGCCAAATGTGCTAATTATCTATTTTTCTATTTATACCATCAGAAGCAGCCGAGCAAAAACCAGAAGATTAATAAAGGCTTAAATAACCTCTTAATCACTCTGGAAGCTGAAATACAATAGGAACCATTTAAGGGACGACAAGTCAGAGGTGAGAAACAGAAAAAGAACAGATTTTTGTTAAAATATTAGTTTTTTAAACCTAGGTCTTCAGTGCACTTTCAGATACTGTGTGTTTGTTGCACAGATTGATTGACATCATCATGGGTTTGACAAATGACACAGGCCTTATTTGCAAGGCAAATGAGGAAAACATAACCTGAATTAAATGGGTGCCTGATCACCACAGGGCGCCTCCTAATTGTCTGTGATATACAGGAATTTTCAGATTATTTATTTCTGGCAGGCAGAGTGTCGTGCACACTGTGGAAACACTGGATGTTTTTGCCTGTGAGATAACACTGGTACCGCTGAGAAAAATATATTTTTTTATATATTGTTAATTTAGTCAAACTTTTTTTTTACCCATAATTCCCACATTAAATACTTAAGATACTCCTTTTTTATCATGTGCGGACTCTTTTTCACACTATGCTAGTGCAGTTTAACCATTTTCTGCCCACAGTGCCTGGTACAGTGCCTGTGTCTTTCCCTGAACTGATAAGGTAATTACTGTACAATGTACAGCCTCATTAAGGCTCTCTGTGACTTGCATATCAAAGAGGATTCACTCATTAAGATGTCAGTGGAGCTTTTGCAAAAACAAACTCAAGAATCCTGCCTGGCGTCGAGGTGTCTTTCTGAAAAAAAAAAGTGTAGCATCTGTTTCACTCAAAGAACAAACAAACAAACAAACATAAACAGTATCAATAGCTTGTCATCGAAACACAAACCCAGCGGAACATCTCACTTCTTCACTGGGTTCTATGGGTGCCGTGTCTCTTCATCCGCCTGTGCTCTGGTGTCCCTCTGAGGCCACTTGGTGCATGACATGAGGTGAATGATAAACATGTCCCTTGGCCTGATGATATGATATTTTCAGACAGGTCGTCGAAGTCACTCCTCATCCTGCTGCAGCTCTAACTTTGTATTATTGAGCTCTGGCCCTCAAGCTGTTTACAGTGCTATATTTCAGGTAATTGAGTTGGGGGGATAGAGGAGTGGAGCAACACAGAGAAGTGTGTGTGTGTGTGTGTGCGTGTGCGTGTGCCAGGCATTCTCTGTCGTTCGTTCTCTGTGTGTTTTACTAAAGATTTCTTGAAAATAATCAACACGTTCACTCCAACACCTTCTACTGTGACTCGCTTGTTTTGGTGCGGGCGACCATATAATGATATCCTCAGGCTCAGCAGTAATCTCAAAAAGGACAGAGCCATACAATTTTAATCATTGTAAAACACACTCTGCAGCCACTTCATTTGATATACCTGTTTAGCAGATGTTGTAAAGACCGAGTATCAGAAGGCGTAAGAGTGGAGGTGATATACTGTAAGTGACTTCAACGTGGTGAACTGTGTGGTTCCAGGCAGGTCAGAGGTCATATGAGAATGGACCAGTGTGTAACAACTGAAGATCTGCAGACTTCTCACAGCAGTGGAAGAGGCTGATGCTACAGTCAACACATGCTAATAATCAGGTTATAGGTCCATATTAAGGCTGTGACATCATGGTAGTAGTAGTGGAGTGGTAGTAATGGTTGTGATATTTTGACTGAGCTGAATTTCCTAAACTAAACTGCATGTGGACAATTCCAATATCTTTTATGAAACAGTACTATCTCTAATGTTGATTGGCTGACACCTCTGCACCATATAGCAGCCAATGGATGCATTCACAGAATCCCTGACTCAGCAGTAATAAACATACATCAAGCGTATGCTTTCACATGCTGATCATGTACAGGCTGACAGTTCTGCTAGCTGTTGTGTTTGTCTAATGGCTCGCTCCGTCTACTGTAATTGTTTTGATGCTGACATAGACGCCACAGAATCAAATCAACCAGCCTCAAGGACAGAGCTGTATAGTCAACAGCTGCAGTAGTCGGCACACAATCTGCAGCTGGCCTTTCAGGTCATGCTGACAACAAGATGGTACACGCAGTACCACTAAAACCCAGCCAAGAAGAGAGAAAACCATCTTTTAAATCTGAAATAAAAAAGTACATTTAATTCATATTTTAATCTATATAAATTAGGGACTAGTCATCACATTTGCCAAAGGTCTTATCATCCAGGTGTTGACTACAATCTAAAAATTATGTTGAATCAAAACTGATATTATTTGTCGCTAATCTGGGTATTGGGGTCCAAATGGTCAGGCACAGACCTGGGACATGTTGGAATTGCTACCACATAAGAACACTGTTTTCTGTTGTTTAATAGACTGGTTTGACTTAATATGTGCAGCTTTAAATTATACTTTTTTAAATAACTAATTAAATAACTAATTAAATAATTATTTGTGATGTTTTTCTAATTATTTTACGTTTGAGGCCAATTTGTTCAAGCAGTTGTCAAAGTTGAGGTTAAGTTGTTTTCCCAGGTTAACAGGAACTGAGACGAACATTGTGTACGGGTGGCATCACTGTCTGCTCTAAGTGTTCTTTCACTAAGGGACATTTTTCATAGCACCTAACCTGTCAGCTGCTTTGACTGGTACGGGTTTAACAGCTACAATATGGCCCACTTCTGGAGGGGAATCTGTCAACTGGGAACTCCACTTGTCAAAAACAAAATTAACAACAAAAGTCTTCTACTCTAGAAGACTCTACTACTCTACTGCTGCTACTACTACTACTACTATTATTACGATGATTACTCCAGCTAATACTATTTTGTATAATTTTACACATATTAATTATATAATTGTAATAATAATAATCATACAAACTGCTATTTTCTTTTGACAAAGCGTTTCTGTTTATCTATGACCTCGACATCTCTATTTTAGAGGTTATTTTTCTCCTGTTTTGCTTCTCTCTTATCGGCATCTAGTGGACAAATGTGAGAGCGCAGTCATTGTACGAGAAGACGTTGTAATTTCTGTGTAACATTCTTTGCTTTAATCACGCGGGATAAAAGTCAAAAAAATGATGAGAGATTTTCTCTTTGTTTTTTTCCACGTTATAATAAATAACTTTTTAATGAAAGGACTTTTCCCCTTTTTTATTAGAGGTCAGTATATTTTTTAGCGGAACGGTTTCTCTGTGTAGCGCTAGATACGGAACCGCTTGAATGTTACACCAATTAGCCCTGCCGGTGCTATCAGCAGCTAGCAGCTACCCGTCTGTTTTCACCGCTGACTTTTGACATAATTTTTTTATTGAAGTGGACGACTGTGACTGTTCAGTCGCTCTGTTTGGTTTACAAATATTGCAAAATGGAGAACAGAATCTGAAGATGGGAGAAAGGTAAGTAAAAATATTCTAGGGTGGCTAGTAGCTATGTCGAAGGCAGTAGCTTCTCCAGAGCAAACAAGTGCTTCACTCTAGGCTTTCTTATTAAATTGCTTCGTCGACGCTGGATTATTTTACCCCTTTCTTCGGTTTACTCTTACATACTTTGATCCGCCGGGCTGTGAAAATCCAAAATCGATATCTAGTCTTTATTTGACATTAACCTTAAGCATTCCCTAGCTGTCGGTAAACCTCCCATAACGTCAGCTCCTCCAGGGGCTGGGTCATTTGTAAAAGTCAAACATGAAATTGCTGACAACAAAATCTATTTTTCTCGTTTTTCTAGTTCTGGACAACTGTCATACTGTGGGCGTTTACTATGTGCGTTTGAAATACATGATTGTATAATTATTCACATAAAATGAAAGTGAAATATACTTGATTACCTTTTAAAATCAGACATTTACACATCGTTGTGGTAAACTTGTGTGATTGTTTGCATTGTGATTGAAACCCTTTCAATGAAATGATTCATATTGAGCCCTAGACATAAATGGATAACATATTTTAGCTGCCAAAAAAATTCACATTTTAACTGACTAGTACAATAAACAACAATCAAATAAAACGTTTTTATAAAATTGATTTTTTAAATCATCTCTTGTGTAGGTGGTATGTTTCAGAGGAAATATTACAATAACTGCAATCATTTCTGTGATTTATTCATTAACTAAACATTTAAACACAAAATTTAATTAAAAAAAGGTGCAATAATATTGAGTGACCACAGATGAAATTTCCTGACCACTACAGCCCTAGCATGAATTGTAGTATTGTTGAGTCAATGAAAAAACATGAGAAAATGGAAAGTGTTTTGTTCAGAACAAAAAATCTGCAATACAAGAATACATTCAAAATATTAAAAAACAGCAATCCACTAATAGCTCGACAGCCGAGCCGTGATACAGCAACGGATGATTGTACACAGTTCTGCTTACTGTGGCTAAGATTAAGGTGATCTACATAATGTGAGGGAAGTGATGCAGCAGATGCTGCAGTTTCATATTTCTCAGTAAACTTTCACAATTTTTGTTACACAAACCTTTCTTCAGTTTGAGGATGTTTGAGACTTAGTTCTGTTTATGATGGTCACACCCAATACGAAGGGATTGTTTATAAAACCCTTCCATGATCTACGACCCTTCTATCGATAGTTCCTCCTTACTGCCATAAGACTCTGTACAACCCTACTGTTTTTCCAAAACGCAATTGCAACTGCAGCATTTGTCAGAGAGAGATGTCAACCAAACATGTCTCTCTGTGTTGGCAGCGTCTTTGTCGTGTGATTCTGTTCAGACATGGAGAAGCCCTGGAGGTTGTGGGGGGCGATGGAGCGATGTACCCTGGCTCTGGTCTCATGGTCCTGGGGCGCCTGTCGTGTCTCCCTCTTGGCTCTCATTCTCACCTTCCACCTGTATGGAGGATTTTTTCTCCTAGCTCTCATCCTGGCCTCTGTGGCAGGAATTCTGTACAAATTCCAGGATGTACTCCTCTACTTCCCTGACCAGCCATCCTCTTCACGCATTTATGTTCCTATGCCCACCGGAATCCCACATGAGAATCTGTACATTCGCACCAAAGATGGTGTGAAGCTCAACCTCATTCTGCTTCGTTACACAGGAGGTGACACGCTCCCTGGTGTCACGCCTGGCAATCAGAGCAGCACGACATCTTCATCTCCGCCTACCATCCTTTATTTCCATGGAAATGCTGGAAACATTGGCCACAGAGTGCCTAACGCCCTGCTGATGCTGGTCAACCTGAAAGCTAATGTGGTGTTGGTGGACTATCGTGGTTATGGAAAAAGTGAGGGCGAGCCTAGCGAGGATGGGCTTTACCTGGATGCTGAGGCTACGTTGGATTATGTTATGACCCGACCTGATTTAGACAAGACAAAGGTGGTACTCTTCGGCCGCTCACTAGGAGGTGCTGTAGCTGTGCGCTTGGCCTCAGTAAACCCTCACCGCGTGGCAGCCATTATGGTTGAAAACACCTTCCTCAGCATTCCTCACATGGCAGCGACTCTGTTCTCCTTCTTACCAATGCGCTTGCTTCCTCTGTGGTGCTACAAAAATCAGTTTCTGTCTTATCGGCACGTGGCGCTGTGCCGCATGCCCTCCCTATTCGTGTCTGGTCTGTCAGACCAGCTCATCCCACCGGTCATGATGAAACAACTGTATGAGCTCTCACCTGCACGGACTAAACGCTTAGCCATCTTTCCGGAGGGAACGCACAATGACACATGGCAGTGTCAGGGCTACTTCGCTGCTCTGGAGCAGTTCATTAAAGACCTGCTGAAAAGCCATGCGCATGAGGAGAGTGCGCAAGCATCAGCCAGTGTCACTATCATATGAGGAAGAAAAAAAAAAGGCCAGGGAGTGACTGGACTTTGGCCATGGGCAGGAAAATATCCAGGTCAACGTACATTGTTTCTTTTTCTGGGTTTTTATCAAATTTTATTCTTGATGTAAATTTAACACGTCAAAGCTATTTTGACAATTTCAAGGATTAAGAAAATGTAATGGTGTTCTTGAGGGATTTTTGTCATTTTTCTGTGCATATTGCAGATATGAATGCATGATCTTATGACCTTTTATGAATGAAAGGCAGACCTGTATACGCTGCGATACCACCCCCTCACATAAGAAATGTTCTGTTGTGGTTCTGCTCAAATCAAATGAAATGAAACAGTTGCACATATTTGTATTTAAAGCACCACATCAGTGAGAGTGAAAGACAACTTTAGTTTCTAATCCACACAATTTCCAACTGATTTGTAGGTCTGCTCTGTCTACGCAGTACGCATTTAATTATAAATATATCTCTGTTGACGTGACACTTTTTGACCTTTTTGTTCCTGTTGATATTCTTAGCTAACAGCAATACCTGAAAGGTATTTCTTCCTTTAGATGGTTGTGGTTGTTATAATTCTAGGGATTCATATTTACATAATAATATATTCCTTTTAATATTTTTTTTTCAAAAACAAAACTAAGGAAATTAAAATTAAAATTAAAATTAAGGAAATTAATTGTTGTGTAACTGAGTGATTACTTGGAGAGAGGGCAAAGATGAAGTGGTCAGAAATTCTTAAAAATGTGAAATAATATATCCTGAGAATCATGTGGCAAGCTATTACTTGTAAGTTGCCCTGTTCCCCTAAAAATAAAACTAGGAGACATTAGTATTGTTCAATTCAATTAAAATTGGGTACTTCTGTTATGCCATCATTTCATCAAGTAATCCAAAAAATCCAAGGTTGCACAAATGCAAATATGTTGTTGCGGTAGCCTGGGTAACACAGAGAGAGTGTTTTTCAAAGCGAGTCATTGTTAAACTGTTCCACTGGAAAGTAACACACAAAGTCAAATGTTAAGCAGTGGGATTTGTCACAAATAACTGACTTTCCTTTTAACACATTTGTCAAGTCTTGTCACACAGAGCAGTAAAACACAATTTCTTTACATAAAACAGCTTCACATCCCCTGTGCCCGACCTCCAATCATGGGAACCCATGAAGACTTTTGCATAAAAATGTCAAAGCAAAACATAGGTGGTTGGTCTTAAACTGGCCCTCATATAGACATCTCTAAATTATTACTCTTTAGTACAGAAAATATACTGTAAATCGCACATGGTGATGCATCAGGGCTGTCCACAGAAGGCCTGAACCTGTCACAGAGTTAAAAAAAAGATCATGCACTGTAGGTAATAAATTAGTACTAAAGTACTAAAACAGGGTTGTCTTTTTATTTTCAGCCTGCAGAGGCACTGCACCAGGCTGGTCACAGAGCCGTTTGAATAATTGAACAAAATAATTCTCTTCAGCCAGAATTGACACTGTTCCTAAACAGTGCAATAAAACAATTGTGGCGATACCAGAAATCTGAATGTGATGTCTTCATGTCGTCTTTGTCTGATAATGACAATGCTGAGAGCAGTGCTGAAATTTAAAGTTTAATTAAAATGTTCCTTTTAAGAGACTGCTCTTTCAATATCATTTGATCATCACTGTGCGATAAACAAAAAGAACTGTGTGAATATGAACTCATTTCACTATGTTTACACATTTCTGCTTTTTTGTTTGTTTAAATTTCTAGTAATTTCTTTAGGGGAGAATTCAAGTTTGTCTCACAGTCACTGAAAGGACAAAAAGAAAACCTCAAAACAAACACTGAATGTCTTTACTGAGTGAATGATTTTACATGTTTTTGACATCTTTGGGATGGGAATCTGCTTTTTTTGAGTTTCGGCAAATCATGTATTTAACTTGAACAGTGTTTGTGTAAATCTGTCATGCCTTTTTATTCCATTTACATAAAACTTCAGTGGGATTTTTTTCAACATTTTTCATGCATCCAAATGATGCAGCAGTCAGTTTGGGTTTTCTTTTCTTCTCATTTTTCATTTTCTATTTCCAATACAAGACGGACACAACTTTTTTTGTAAGCACACATTTTCACTTTCTATTTTCTGTACTTTAACATGCAATAAACTGATACATTTAAAATGTACATCATGCTTGGCTCCTGTGTTTTCACTTCTTTTTGACCTGCTTTCTTGGATTCTACGACGTGTTGAAGGCACTTGTTTGCACTTTCTCTTGTTTTGTTTGCAATTCTAGCCATTTAAGTTGATGCCAATGAATGTTTTTTTATTTCCTCTTTATTTCTGCTATCTTAAGGCTCACATGTGTCTAGTTATTGAGAAGAGGTGGTTGGTCAGACAGGAAATGTAAGTGTGGTTGAAGGGGTGGGTCGTAAGATAGAGGGGAAGCAGTTTTTTTTCTCTTGATAATTTTTTTCTGCGTAGTCTCTCAGACTGAAGTGGAACCAGCCTCAAAGACGGTAAAAGCAAAAGTTACGAAATTAAGTGGAATGATTAGGGAGGAATCGAGACTTAAGGCTGTGGGGGAAAAAGTTTTTAAAGCAGGCAAATCGGCAGGTTCTAAATGTCAAAGCAGCCAGTGTGAACCTCTCTCCTGGAGATTAAATGGTGCCTCCGATGGCAGTTTCAGCAGGTGGGAAGTCTTTGGCCAAACAGAGGACAGGTAAGGTGAGATCATCGTGGTTTTCGCCGGTTGTCCTCCTGACGTTAGCAGCCGTCACGTCATCCTCTCTGTCAGCTTTGTCCTTGTACCAGCTGATGGCTCTCAGAGCCGAGGTAGAGGGGCTCAGGTCAGAGGTGGGTCGCAGGAGAGAAGAGGGTGAGTTCAAGATCAAGTGTGAAAGCCAGGTGAGAGGGACTGTCCTAGTGTTTAAGTGTTTTATTCACCACATCACTTTGATTAATACTGACTGCTTTGTGTTTGTGTAGTCTGAGAGTATAAATCTCAGGAGGCACCAAGCTGAGGCTCAGCATGCGTTCAGTCTAATAAGGAAGAGAAGAATGGTGTCTGAACCACAGACTATTGGTAAGAACCTTTTTAAAATGACTCACTTATATTAAAGTCTTGTCTGAATGTTTTCAATCTTTAAGGTTCATGTACCTGTTACATATAGCTGAGACTTCTCTATGTCTGAGGTCTACACATGTAAATGTAAAATAAGCGAGGCCCTGATACAGACATAGGTGATGCGCTAACTCCGTCTCCTCGCCACAACCGTGACATTCCTTGCTGAGTTTTTCCTGCAATAGCTTTTACCAAAAGAGGATACTGTCAACACCCCTTACACTTTGGGAACTACTATTCTAACAGAATACAAAAGCATCTTGAGACTGTTTTTTGGACTGGTGTAGCCTTTAGAAAGGACCAGGTATGGCACCGCTGTAAAAGTTATTTTTGCCATGTTTTTGTACAGGGGATAAATATGTAAACCTTACCTGAAATGATTCCTGTTGCATTGCACTTGTAATGACATTTTTAGTGCAAGAGAAAGGGAGGACATATGGTATTTGGCAACAGTCATAATAGTTTACAATCAACTAGAACAATTAGGAGAACATGGACGATGCTGGACTATGTGTTCCCTGTCACTACACTGTGACTTAAGACTGAAATATTTATTGTTACAGTGTCTCAGTCCTGCTTACAGTTATTGGCCAACGACAAAAGGGAAACCTACAGAAAAGGTACAGTATTATTATTATTAAGAAAAAGAGGGATAGATGTTTAGTTAAAGTCTTTCCAGCTTCTTAAGGACTCATAATACAGTTTTGGTATTTATGTGTTAATTTGATCAGAATTTGATCTGGAGCCACACACAGGTATCCCATGGCAGACTGGTCTAGAGAGGGGCTCCAGCCTGAAGCAGGATGGTGACACCATGGTAGTCCAGGAGGAAGGCTTCTACTTTGTGTACAGCCAGGTAAAGCTGTTTGTTGTCATTTCACTGTATTTCCACAGGAGGGTGCTGCTGCTCTGTCTGCTAATCACCAGGATTTACAACGTAAACTTGCAGCATTTAAAGTCTGTAAATCCTGAAAAGAATGAGCAATCTAGCATATTCAATTTTATAGAATCCTACACCAAAGCACCCACCTGATGGTTGATACTTTTAAAGCCCAAGGATGAAGTATAACCCATAGATTTAATTTAGCTTGCCCGGTTCACAAAGGTCTACTACATGGACCGCACCTTTGCTATGGGCCATGTGGTGATTCGGAGGAAGAGGAATGTGGTGGGAGATGAGCCTCAGTTTGTCGTCCTATTCCGCTGCATCCAGAGCATGAACGACACCCACCCGTACAACACCTGCTACACAGGAGGTGAGACCTTTTTTAGTCTAATCTTACAATGTGTGTTTAATATGTGTGGAATAAATATGAGTCAGATGTTGAGGAATGTCAAAGGTCAACACACAGTATAACACATCAGTATACAGAAAACAGAATGAAGATTCAGAGTTTTATAGCCACCTTCTAGAACGAGAGACTGTATAGTCTACTAACTACTAGTTTATATTAAAACTGGCTTATTATCTCTATCCTTACACCTCAACTTAGAACTTATTTTAATGTTTTTTTTAAATCGCTCTACGGTGGTTATGTTACATTTTATTAAATATATTAAAATTTAGCTTATTTCTTTTTATTAATTGTATATTTGTAAAACAAACAAACAAACGAAAAACAACGATTTGAAGGGCTAACCTTTTGGCAGTTAGTCCAGTGTTTTTTGATTGTCATGGCAGACGTGAAACTTCACATGGGTTCGTGTGTTTCCCTCAGGTGTTGTTAAGCTGGAGGTTGGTGACCACTTGGAGCTTCTCATCCCACGTTCCACAGCCAACGTTTCCCTGGACGGAGACGCCACATTCATGGGCGCTTTCAAACTGGTTTGAACCGTGTTTCTCACAGTGGACCTGCGCTGTTTTTTGTCAGTGATGGTAAAATATCTGGATGTTTAAAAGTGTACAAGGCGCAGTTTTTAGTGTAGCAAGTGACAGACAGACTGTATATTTTTCAGAACCAAAATGGACAAAAGGAAGTTGGTATTACAGCCTGTTTGGGCTATTTTAAGTTACAGTTAAGCGTTTGTATTTCAGAAATGTGGAATAAAAAGAGACACATATACAATAATGCAATTTGTAGGATAGGTTATTATTTTTTACGTTTGTTTCTATTACTGTTTTTTGTTATCAGTTTGCAATTCTCAGTTATACTTTCACAATTGATTTTATATTGTTATTTCGACTGATTTGTTTTTAAAACATAACAAACAATTTTCTCGTAAGAGAGAATACCGATTAATCCTTCCCTACCTATTGAAGTGTGTATAAAATTCAGCATTTACTCGCCTGGAAGTCCCTTTAAAGCGATGACGTCATCTACAGTTGAGCTAGAAGTTGTTATTTCGATATTGGCCGCAAGATGTAAGTAAAGCAACAAAAAGACGAGGAAAATTTTGCCGAGATGGAACATTTTAAAACAGTTTTTTAAACGAATATTTAATAGAAACAGATTCAGACTGAATAACAAATCCATTTGACCTAATGTCTGCTTTTATTATGTTTTTCTGTTGTGATAAGAAATGAAAATTAATAATTGTTTGCAACAAAAATAAATAAGATTAAAAGCGGGTAAATATAAATGAAAAGAATGTTACTACTAATCTATCAAATGATCCCAATATGCCGTACACTTGGTTTAATATAAAGTTTGAAAGTTATTTACTTGCAAATTAAACTAAATATTGTGATTATTTCTGGACACAGATGTTTTGTTTTTCTGGTAATCCTCTGGACCAATTACTGTTAGACATAGAAACACTCATCATTGGAATATGGATGTTAAAAAGGAGAAGTTTTCCCCTGCATCTCAACAAATAATAGGAAATGCACCAAATTCTTTAAAATAATTTTGTAAAAATGTACAGGTTATGACCAGTTCTATATGCTGAAGGTACTCACACTACTATTAATCTTCAAATTGGTGACATCACCAAAGGCTATGGTTTTAAAGTGTGTAAAGATCCATCTTTGGAGATCAATTTTAAATATTTCCCACCACCTGCCGTGGGCTGTCCAGTCTGCTTCATCTCCTCTGTTCAATCCTCTCTCACACACTGGCCCTCTGTCTACACGGGGGCAAGGAGTTAGACAAAGACCACTGGGTGGTCACTTCTTCACTGGGCATTTTGCCGTCAAAGTCATGGCTCCATTTGACAAGGAGGAGAGGGGGAGGTTAGGGCGATGTAGAGTCTGAAGTAGAACTCTGGGAAAGGAAGATTTTAAATGGGCCTAACCGGCAGCAGGAGTTATTAATGGACGAGGGAGCGGAAAGAGAACAGAGAGGCTAAGACACATTAGAGGAGAAGGGCCAGAACCGGAGCGCTGGAGTCACAGAAGCTGTTTGATGATCTGCTAAACAGAGCAGGCGGCTGTACAAACACAAATCAAGAG